ATCACTGACTTCAGAAACTTCACACTGGACTTCAAGCAGCTTGGATTTTGTGCCTCTCCAGTCTTCCTCCAGACTCCAAACTCCAGACCTTGATTTCCAAATGAAATGCAAAATTTACTTTCATCTGAAAAGAGGACTGTGGACCACTGAGCAACAGTCCAGTTCTTTTTCTCCCTAGCCCCAGGAAGATGCTTCTGACGTTGTTTCTGTTTCAGAAGTGGCTTGGGTAGCCCTTTTCCTGAAGACGTCTGAGTGTGGTGACTGTTGATGCACTGACTCCAACTTCAGTCCACTCCTTGTGAAGCACTCCCAAGTGTTTGAATCGGCTTTGCTTGACAGTATTCTCAAGCTTGCAGTCATCCCTGTTGCTTGTGCACCTTTTCCTACCCAATTTATTCCTTCCAGTCAACTTTGCATTTAATATGCTTTGATACAGCACTCTGTGAACAGCCACCCTTTTCAGTAATGACCTTCTGTGAATTACCCTCTTTGTGGAGGGTGTCAGTGATCGTCTTCTAGACCAGTGTTTCCCAACCTTTTTTTAAGTCGCGGCACCCTTTGGAAATTTTAACAAACTTGTGGCACCCTACAAAATACATTTTGTCACAATATTTGAATTTCTAACTTTGATATGATAATTTGAAAAGTATAGATACTCGGTACAACAGCAAACTGCAGAATATAATGTCATACAGATACTTTTAATATTAAACATTTTTGGCCATCAATGGTGGCAATCAGTAGGCTAATTTCTACTGAAGAGACCAATTTATATGACAGATTTTAATGTTGGCTTTTATTCATATGTAAACATGATTTAATTACCATTATAACTAGCTATCTCACAAATATTTGCTCACTCAGTGTTTTTTATTTTTATTTTACAGTGGGGTAATTGGTGCAGTAGCACGAGATAGCTTGATTTCAAACTTTTAATTGAATAAAAAATGACAAGTAAGCAGTCAGTAATAAAATAAGAACAAATAAAGAAATTAATAATGATAGCACAAATAAAAAATAACGACAGGCCTTCGAATTAAATAAATTGCTTTTTAGTTTTTTAGGTAGGTCTAACAGTAGGGTTAAGATATTTATCCATTATATATCCAGATATTATCCAAATAATGTTTAGTCTTAGAAAGCTATTATTATCAGAACACGTGAGCATAACATAACGGTTAGCAGATCAGTGAATGAGAGGGCAGCGTTACCAGAGTTGCCCATATACCACACCATGTTACAACATAGTAGGGCTATTGCAGACAGAAACAATACTGTACTACATCGATGTTTCCTGTCGGCTCAATTTTTGAGTGGACTTTGCTGTTCCGATGAGCATGAACGGTATACGAGTGGAGCGACTGAGTACTAAAAGGTTTTCTTGACCTGGTAAGGACTCTAGCCGCTGCATTTTGGACTACCTGTAGCTTGTTTATTGAAGATGCAGGACAACCACCTAGCAGTGCATTACAATAGTCCAGTCTAGAGGTCATGAATGCATGAACTAGCTTTTCTGCATCAGAAACAGGTATCATGTTTCGTAACTTGGCAATGTTTCTAAGATGGAAGAATGCTGTTTTTGTAACATGGGAAATATGATTTTCAAAAGACAAGTTGCTATCTAATATAACACCCAGATTTTTGACTGTAGAGAAAGTAACCGTACATCCGTCTAGTTGCAAATTGTAATCCACGAGATTCGGTGTACTGTCTTTTGGTCCAATAAGTAATATCTCTGTCTTATCCAAGTTTAATAGGAGAAAATTATTGGTCATCCAATCTTTTACATTTTTACACTGTAGGGATGGTCATTTAATGAAACTCAAATGTAAATATTCTAATATTTTGAGACACTGGATTTTTGACTTTCATTAGCTGTAAGCTCTAATCATCAAAATTAAAACAAAAAAACTTTTGAAATAATAACACTTTTGTAATGAATCTAGAATATATGAAAGTTTCACTTTTTGAAATAAGTTACCAAAAACCATGAACTTTTTCACGATATTCTAATTTTTTGAGATGCACCTGTACAGGATATTGAACAAACTGGATAAACAGATCATATTTCATCAATTGCAAAAGGACAGTCAGTTCTAAAGTACAGATAAAAAACAAAAACAAATCAGGTTTGTTTGAAATGGGAGAAAACCCTTAAAGTGTTGTTTGGTCTTTCCTTTCAGCCTGCCAGTGTGAATGTGTTCAAATATACCACCTTCTACATATATTACACCATGCTGCTCATCTCCCTGATCCTGGCCTGCTTGTCCGACCAGCCTCCACTCTTTTCACAGGCTGTCAAAGACTCGGTTAGTGAACTTTACTTAAAGAAGGTAGAGGAATGCCGTATTATATGAATGTTGAATTGATGGCCAGTGCTGTGAATGTTTTTGTACAGAATCCATGTCCAGAGTCGGGAGCTTCATTCCTGTCCAGAATCACTTTCTGGTGGATCACAGGGTGAGCAAAATAAATGACTGCATCTCTATCACTCTTTCTTTAAAAAAAGAATTTTGCACAACAAAAATCTAGAAGGTTTATTCTGGCTCATGTAATTTCTTGATCCCATTCATCCCATCAATTTCTATCTTCTCTCTACTGTCTGTATTGGGTAAAATATCCTTTTTGAAGAAGCCTTCACTTTTTGCTTATGCTTTTATCCTTTTGCTGGATGTTTTTTCTTGATGTATGTTCCTCTTGTTTCCTCATAGATTGATGGTGACTGGTTATAAAAGGCCTCTGGAAGAGAAGGATCTGTGGTCGCTCAACACGGAGGATAAGTCTCAAAGAGTGGTGCCACAGCTGGTGCGCCGCTGGGACCAGGAATGCAACAAGGTCAAAAGGTCAGAAGTGAGAAGTCACTTTTTTTTCTCAAGTAGACAACTTGCTACAAAAATGACTAATCCTCTGATTGGGTTATGCTTTTTTTGTTAGGCCCGTAGATAAGACACTCTACTCCCCAAAAAGAGCAGCAAAGGGAGAAAAGAAGGATGGACAACCAATAGAAGAGTCTGAGATTTTGCTTGCAAAAACCCTTCAGAAAACTGGCGAGCCATCCCTTTTCTGCGCGCTCTGCCGAACCTTTGGACCATACTTTCTCGTCAGCTCTCTGTATAAGATTATTCATGACATCCTGATGTTTGTTGGGCCAGAGATTCTCAGGTATGAATATACAGCATCAGAATCATCTTTTTCTTTTTTACATGTGCGATTATTCCCATCTGCGCTGAGTTCAGAAGCAGTAGTTCTCTGCAGGGGAAAGTGCAAGTGTGCCCTCTGCCTTTTCACAGTCATGTGGTTGGAAATGACTAACTAGGCCACTAGCTCTGTGTGAAGGCCACTCTGTCAAAACAACAGCTGTGACTCTTAAAAGAGCTCCAGTGAAGAGTTAGTTTTGGCATGCTGAGAAGTTGTGCCATCAAATTGTGCACTAGACCATGTTTAAATCCTCTCTAATCCTTTGAAAATAACACCTGAAGTCTCGGCAGTGAGCCTTTATCCAGTTTGCCCACTTTTCTTGCACTTAAATCCAGAAGAACTGCATGTTAATTTATACTCGTGTGAGTTCGGTCTTTTTTTTATCTTAGGCTACTGATCCAGTTTGTGAATGATTCAAGTGCCCCCACTTGGCATGGCTACTTCTACACCACCCTGCTGTTCGTTTGTACCTGCGTGCAAACCCTCATTCTGCAGAAATATTTCCACGTTTGCTTTGTGACAGGCATGAGGTTACGTACGGCCATTGTTGGTGCCGTGTACAGGAAAGTAAGTGGACTTTTGATTGCTCAAATGTCTGTAACATGGAGTAATGCAGTGTTCATGCACATTCTGAGGTTCAAAAAACTGCAAAAAATGCATGTCAAGTGTGAATTTGCCATGTTTTTTAATGAATATGACTTTTAAAGTTTATATACAGTACAATTCAAAAGTTTGGGGTCAGTAAGATTTTTTTTTTATGTTTTTTTGAAAATGTGTTGGTGAATGAACAACATGCTCACCAAGGCTGCATTTGTTTGATCAAGAAAATAATTTAAATTTTTTGTTGTGTAATATATTGTAAAATGTATTTTGTTCATGTGATGGCAAAGCTGTATACTATAAATGTCTATTGCTGTCACTTTTGATCAAGTTAATGCATCCTTGCTGAATAAAGTAACACATTTCTTTACTTTTTTAAAAATTTTATTTAAATTAATTTAAATTAAAAAAGTAAATAAATGAATGGTAGTGTAGTGATTTATAATATTTCCCTTCATTTTGTCAAGGCCTTGGTCATTACCAATGCTGCCCGACGAACATCCACTGTCGGAGAGATTGTGAATCTGATGTCTGTAGATGCTCAGCGTTTTATGGACCTCATCACCTATATCAACATGATTTGGTCAGCACCTTTGCAGGTTATCCTGGCCCTTTACTTCCTGTGGCAGGTATGTGCCTACACAAAGGTGTCTTGGCTTGTATGCTCATTTAATTGCACATCACTAATACCTGTTTTTATTAATTTTTTTGCTCTTTTGTTATAAGAATCTGGGTCCTTCTGTGCTTGCTGGAGTTGCTGTGATGGTGCTGATGGTTCCTGTAAATGCAGTCATTGCCATGAAAACTAAAACCTACCAGGTTTGTACCTCTTATCCTGCTCAGCAGGCAATTTTGTTAATTAGTTCGTCTTTGTTAATCTGACACACTCACCCACAGGTTGCCCAAATGAAAAGCAAGGACAATAGGATCAAGCTTATGAATGAGGTACTGAATGGCATTAAAGTCCTTAAACTCTACGCATGGGAACTGGCATTCAAAGACAAAGTTTCTGCCATCCGAGAGAGTGAATTGCGTGTGCTGAAGAAGACTGCTTACCTTGGTGCTGTGTCCACCTTTACTTGGGTCTGCGCACCATTTTTGGTAGGTGGTGCCTTTGAGTTCTAGTCCTGCATGGGCTTTTTCATCATTATGCCCACTTTCTTTTTTTGATGCTACCTTATGGTTGTGCAGTGACGTTTGCTCTTGTCATCTTGTCTCTTTTACAAAGGTTGCCCTTTCCACATTCGCAGTATATGTGTTAATGGATGAACATAATATTTTGGATGCACAGAAGGCATTCGTTTCCCTGGCCTTGTTCAACATCCTGCGCTTCCCTCTTAATATGTTGCCCATGGTCATTAGCAGCATGGTGCAGGTATTACCTTTCTCTCTCTTTCTTTTTTTAAAAAACATTGAATTAAATGTGAACCTTAGAATGTGATATAAGTTCAAACGTTTTTTTGGCCACTTGTGATGGGATCAAGAAGGATAGCACGGTTAACATGGAAATCCAGGAACTTGTCATCTGATTTCAATTTTTTATGACTATGAAATTTATTGCTTCCATCAGGCCAGTGTGTCTATGAAGCGTCTGCGTGTATTTCTGTCCCATGAGGAGTTGGATGAAGACAATGTGGAGCGGCCAGCCATCACTGCATGTGAGTCGAGTGATTCACAAGCAGTTCAAATCTGGAATTAAACAAATGTGCCATATTCTGTGGCATGTATTTTTTTGTATGCTATGCGTGTTTGACTCGCAAAGCATTCCAGTCCCCAAACTGTTTCCACAGACAGACATAAAACAGCATTGTATGAGAGAGTAGCAGCTGTTCAGTAGATCTGTGGGTTTAAAGACATCCCGTGTGTTTTGATGTTCACTTAAGAGACTTCATTGTTGTTTCCTGCTCATTCAGCTCCTGACAGCATCAGGATTGTGGACGGAGCTTTTAGCTGGTCTAAAGACGACTCCCCTACTTTGAAGAGGTAACACCGTTTTCTTTGCGTGTAAAAGAGATACCACATGATCCAATAAATAGCCTTTTTTTTCAGTGTTATAGAGTACAAGGGATGGGAATTGTACGAAATTTCACGATTCTGATGAACGATTCCATGGTCATTAGCAGCATGGTGCAGGTATTACCTTTCTCTCTCTTTCTTTTTTTAAAAAACATTGAATTAAATGTGAACCTTAGAATGTGATATAAGTTCAAACGTTTTTTTGGCCACTTGTGATGGGATCAAGAAGGATAGCACGGTTAACACGGAAATCCAGGAACTTGTCATCTGATTTCAATTTTTTATGACTATGAAATGTATTGCTTCCATCAGGCCAGTGTGTCTATGAAGCGTCTGCGTGTATTTCTGTCCCATGAGGAGTTGGATGAAGACAATGTGGAGCGGCCAGCCATCACTGCATGTGAGTCGAGTGATTCACAAGCAGTTCAAATCTGGAATTAAACAAATGTGCCATATTCTGTGGCATGTATTTTTTTGTATGCTATGCGTGTTTGACTCGCAAAGCATTCCAGTCCCCAAACTGTTTCCACAGACAGACATAAAACAGCATTGTATGAGAGAGTAGCAGCTGTTCAGTAGATCTGTGGGTTTAAAGACATCCCGTGTGTTTTGATGTTCACTTAAGAGACTTCATTGTTGTTTCCTGCTCATTCAGCTCCTGACAGCATCAGGATTGTGGACGGAGCTTTTAGCTGGTCTAAAGACGACTCCCCTACTTTGAAGAGGTAACACCGTTTTCTTTGCGTGTAAAAGAGATACCACATGATCCAATAAATAGCCTTTTTTTTCAGTGTTATAGAGTACAAGGGATGGGAATTGTACGAAATTTCACGATTCTGATGAACGATTCCATGTACAACTATTTGATTACTTTTAAAGAAGCACCAATTTCCCTCAACAATTAATCAAAACTAAACACAAACAACACATTTTTTTATAACAATGATTACAATTATATTATACAAAAAAATAGTACAATTTGTTACAAAAAACTATTTTTAGAATGTGTTACTTTAACTTAAACAACCTGTCAGTCTAACATAAGACTGATTAGTCATTTGTTTGCCATTTGAATAGGACTATACCGGTCATACAATATTTTTATTGTTGTATGCAACAGCAACAATGCAAAAGTCTATTTATTAGGCAATAAATGCCTCAGTTTACAGTATTTCAGTACTGTTTCTGCCCACATTAGAAAACATTCAAGAACCATTAATGTAACAGAACGTCATGAAAATCATTTGATTTTTAATATCCGTTATCAATTCCCAGCCCTATGTACTCTTCACAAATGTTGTTGTTGTTGTTATTATTTTCAAGGCATCAAAATGACTTTTAGCATTGACATTAATATTGCGGTTACATAGAGCAGAACCAGTGAAACAGGCTACTGAGGACGTTACAGGCAAGTACATGTGCATGAACCCCGATACAGGAGAGTATCAATCGCCAGAGGAAATGTAATCTGGTGAATCTCCACTGATATTAATGAGAGGGAGAATGAAATTTGGGAATGCTGAATTGCTTTCAATCGTAGCTTAATTTCATTTATTTCATTTCCATCTCATTTACTTCAAATCATGCATTGAACTGTGTAATTTGACTTGCATTATTGTTCACTCTGAGTACAATTCTATCAGTACACTCTGAAGGATTTGCTCGAAATCTGCAATCAACAATGAAGTGAATTAAGAAATCCGAATGAATGAATGAATTCTTTGCCGCCTCTGCCCACATGTTGCTTGAACTGTTTGTTGTTGTTTGTATCTGTTCGTGTCTCAGCGCGTCTTTCTGTCTCTTCAGGATTAATGTGCGTATCCCTGAGGGGGCGCTTGTTGCTGTGGTAGGGCACGTGGGTTCAGGGAAATCCTCTCTGCTTTCAGCTTTGCTGGGAGAGATGCAGAAGCAAGAAGGATCTGTCTCGATTAAGGTACAGACACAAGCTATGTGCTTCTTTATTGCAAGGTTGCCTGAAATTATTTTGTGTGGAAACAGTGGCTCTTCGAGTTAAGTGCTTTGTTGTATTTAAGTTAAATAGATTATGTACTGTTTGCACTGGGGCTCAAACATTTCAGACCACTAGATTTTCAATTATAATTTAATATTTTATTATGTATAAAATATAATTTACTATATATTTTTTTTGTATAAAATATTCATGGCTTTTATATTACATAATTTCATTATATTAGCAGCATAACAGCATAACGGATTTTGTAACGTCTTAGTATTTTTTTTGTCAAGGTTTGTTCCTTGATTGGCGTCAACTCCACATGATTTGAAGATGTGCCAAAAAGCGTCTTGTGCTTCTGTGAATGCAAGAACATCTGACTGTCACATGATCAATATCCCATGCCAATACCTTTCTTTGTTTTGATTTATTAACAACAATGCCTTAAAGACATTTAAAGTTAAAGCTGAAGCTTAAGAACAGTATGAAAGAAAAATATCAGTTTTTCAAAGCGGTCCAAGAATTTTGGGCCCACTGTGTATTTGGATAACATTGATAATAGGATGATAAAGAAATGCATTGAGTATCTGATGTTTTTCAGGGCTCTGTGGCTTACGTGCCTCAGCAGGCCTGGATCCAAAACACCACTCTCAAAGACAACATTTTGTTTGGACGGGACGCAAAAGACAGCTGGTACCAGAAGGTGGTAGAGGCTTGTGCTCTCCTACCAGACCTGGAGATCCTACCTGGAGGAGACTTGACAGAGATTGGGGAGAAGGTAAATAAAGATTTTAAAAAGATTCTTACACTTTGTCATAAACAAGCACGATACATTGAAGGTTAATGCTGCATGGTGTCACAGACTGCTTTTAATGCAACAATCTGACATTATTTAAATAGCAGTCAGTTGGGTTAATGTGACATTGTCATTTTAGGGCGTGAATCTGTCTGGAGGTCAGAAACAGCGGGTGAGTGTGGCCAGGGCTATCTACTGCAACTGTGCAGTGTATCTGCTGGATGACCCACTCTCCGCTGTGGATGCTCATGTGGGAAAACACATCTTTGAGAAGGTCATCGGACCTCAGGGGTTGCTACAGGGCAGAGTAAGGCCATTTTAGCCATGTATTATCCAAATATGTATACATCTCTTATGGACATTTCACATCACACATGGTACTCTTTCAGACTCGGGTTCTGGTGACCCACGGGCTGAGCTTCCTGCCCCAGGCTGACCTGATCTTGGTGATGGTGGATGGGGAAATCACAGAGATGGGCTCTTACACTGAGCTGCTGGGCAGACAGGGTGCTTTCGCTGAGTTCCTGCGTACCTACACCAACACAGAGCAGGAGGAGTCAGTGGGAGGTGAGGCTGGCCTCCTCATATCTGAACTTCTTTCATGCGTCTGTCCTTTCACATAGCCGTTTCCTCTAAATGATTACTATTGTTCACATTGTGTGTGATCTTTTTTCCAAAATAATCCGTGTCTAGTGATCCTTTTTTTGATCTGTATGTCTGTGTTTTCATCTCCATTTGTTCATTTGTTGTGTCCCCTCTTTTGGCTCTTCAGAGGAGGGAGGGGAGGCAGAGGACGAAAAAGGGAAATCTGAAGGTTTGAGGGTGTAATTGGTCCCCGGGCCATATCATTTGAATAGGCCTGCCTGTACTGCATGTTAGAATAGGGCTTATTATCCTGGTCTGAGGCCTGAAATATTTGAGGTGCACACAGAGTTGTTTTAGTATTTTCCCACTTCATTACTATTGGACCTCACAACCCTTAGATTGACCTTTTACACATCCTTGCACTGCGCTTCATTTTGATGGAGTAAATGGTACCCCTTTTCACAGTAATCGAATTGGACCCCATCTCAGCTCACTTGAGAGCCATGCAATGATGTGAGTTTTACTACATAATTAATGTATGACTCTTTTTGAGAAAATGCACTACTGTTTAAAGTCTCTTATTCACACCAAGACTGCATTTATTTGATCAAAACATCAATGAATAAAAAAAACAAAGCCTTCATGCATAATGCATTATAAAAGAAGTTATAATACATTTAATTATGCCTTGTAGAGCAGCTTATAATGCTTTCTACAATCTCATAAATAATTGTAACCACAGTTAATACATTTATAACACTTATCAATTCATTGTTACACTATGCATTTTAAATTCGGTTGTAATTATTTATGACAAGATGAATAATTATAATGTATTATACCATTCACTAACCCTTTATAATGCATTATACAGTACATAAAGGCTTTAAGTAAAGTGTTACCAAAATAAGAACTGAAAATAAGTAATATTGTGGAAAAATTACTATTTAAAATAACTCTTTTTTTTCTATTTTAAAATGTAATTTATTTCTGTGACGGCAAAGCTGAATTCACATGATCCTTCAGAAATCATTTTAATATGCTGATTTGGTGCTCAAGTGAATTATTATTATTTTTTTTGTATTCTTTGAATCGAAAGTTCAAAAGAAAAACATTTATTTGAAATAGAAATGATATTTAAACTTGATATTTATAAATAAGATAATTTCATTTAAGAGACCCAGCGAAATGTCTTTGTAGTCTGTGCAGGACATCTACATTCATCATTTTTGTTAGAATGGAGCACTGTGAATGGCTTCAACCTTTAAAGGGGTCATATAATGCGATTTTCAATTTTTCCTTTCTCTTTGGAGTGTTACAAGCTCTTGGTGCATAAAGAAGATCTGTAAAGTTGCAAAGACTAAAGTCTCAAATCCAAAGAGATATTCTTTATAAAAGTTAAGACTTGTCCATGCCCTTCTAAAACGCCTCATTTAAACACGCCCCCACATGTCTATGTCACTGTGTGGGAATATTTGCATAACGCCACCCAAATGTTCACGTAAAGAAAGAAGGCGTAACTTTTATTCTCGCTGTAGTATTGTTGCCGCCGCCGCCATGTTGTGGATATGCTGTGTGTTTCATTGTGAAAGCGAAACTACTTAGTTTGGTCTTCCAAAAGAGGACGATATCCGCTTTGTCATGCCTAGAGCTGATCCGTGCTGGTCACTGAGGAAAAACATCAACTTCGGCTTTTACCATGGACGAAGCAGAGTCCAGCCCGGGGTCGTCACATGTGGTTGCCGCAAGCCTCCTTTGTCGAATCCGCCAGGTGCCACTCACTCAAGCCGCTGTGTGTTTCGTTGTGAAAGCGAAACTACTTTGTTTGGCCTTCCAAAAGAGGACATAATGTTTCTTTAAAGTGGGGCAGTTCCAACTTTGCAAGGACAGTCTGGCGCTTCTGACTCACAGCCTGTAAGTACGTTTTTTATATTGAAAGGATTTGCCACTGATGATCCAAACGCGAGTTTGAGCAGTGTAGAGTAGCGCTTATTGTTTGTCATTTCTCCGATCACAAATGCAGACATGGTTTTATGTTTACGCGGCGCAATACGCAACGCAAAGCGTAAAAACACAGTATAAGTCATTATAATCAATAATTATGTCCCCGCTGGATGCAACAATTGCCTCGTTTGTAATGGGTTTTATTGGTTTTGTCTCATCGCATGGAACATGGAAACCACACATGGAAACCATAGACTGTATGATGGAAACACAGTATGGTAAGGGGCGTAACATTTCTGTCACACGCTTGAGGTATTCAGCCAATCACAACACACTGGATAGCTGGCCAATCAGAGCACACAGGTGGAAATTTAATTGGTTATTCACTGATAATTTAATTTGTGAGCTTGAGAAACATAGTGACCAAATCACGAGTTGTTGAATCAGTCAATCCAAATGCCGTCCATCAGTTTGACAGATAAAAAACAAGAACAAAACCATGTAAACTTACTGCATCATTCACTCATTTGTGCTAGACACTAAAAATGACTTTTGTTATGGTTGATAAAGACCCTGTCTTATATGTAACAACCATTTAACATTTAAATCATGGACTAATAATTTTTTGACATTATTTGCTAGCCTGCTCTATCTCTGTGTCCTGTAGGCAGAGTCAGATCTCTCTTAATGCAGCGGGCACAAGTAAAACCCCAGAGAAAACTGAACCCAATGATGTTGCGGCCGCAAAGAAGGCCAAATCCACAGAAGCTGCCCGACTGACTGAGGCTGACAAGGCCAACACTGGCAGGGTATGAGTCAGCCATCTCTATGTTAGGATGCGAGATCATGGTTCCTATTTCCATCTGATTTTGAGATTTAGTGAATGTTGTGTGTTGTGCAGGTGAAGCTGTCTGTGTTTTGGGAGTACATGAAGGCTATCGGCTTGCCCCTGTCCATCTTCAGTATCTTTCTGTTCTTCTGTCATCATCTGTCCTCTCTGGGCTCAAACTACTGGCTCAGTCTCTGGACAGATGACCCTGTTATCAATAACACACAGCCCAACAGTGAGATGCGTTTAGGGGTGTATGGAGCCCTCGGACTCACACAAGGTGATTTAAGGGACAGTCATGTTGTTGTGTGTTATTGCATATATTTAGATTTTAAATTCCTGAAAACTTGCTTTTAATACGAAAACTTGTATTCAAGGTTACATAGCCTCCTCAACCAAGATTTTAGATTAGCTTGTAGTTACATGGATCAATGCATATTCCAAAGTTATGTATTGTACAAAAAGTCTTTGAAATCAAAAACCTTATTGAATTGTACAATTATGTAAAAGAAATGCATTGCCTTAACAGGGCTTATGTTTTGGGCGCTGCAGTTTAACATGAATATTTCAGTTAACAGTAAATATTTCGATTGGAATCAACAGTTCGGCAGAAATTATAAGTGCACACATCCAGCAGGCAGAAATCTCAGTGAGAGTTAGCAACTGCAAAAATCACAAAAAGGAAAAAGTTGGTACACCAAAGCTCCATAAACTAACAGTGAAGTTTCAAGGCATATGGTCACTGTTGGTTAGAACTTGTAATAAAACATTTTTCTTGGTTTGCCAACGTTTTTCTTTTTCTAAATACAATATTACATCATTGGAATACCTTCCAAAATCCACTAAAATATATATATATATTTTTTTTAAATACCATCTCAATTTCATAGGTGATATATAGCTGCGATTACTCATGATGGTATTTTCATAATATTTTTTAAATTTTAAGGTAAAATATTGAGTATTTAATGTCAATATTGTGTGTGAAGTGTTTTTATTTAAAATAAATGTTAAATTGCCCCTTAAGAATGTTTTAATGTAATGCATTTTTATGCAACTCGGCATCCTTCTATATAATTTTTTTGTCATTAAAGGGTTAGTTCACCCAAAAATGAAAATGAGCCCATAAATTACTCACCCTCAAGTCATCATAGGTGTATATGACTTTCTTCTTTCAGACGAATCCAGTCAGAGTTCTATTAAAAATCGTCTTTGATCTTTCAAGCTGTTTCATGGCACTCAGCGGGCGTTGCATGCATCAGTCCAAAAGCACTTAATTAAAATGCGCCCATTCATAAAAAAAAGTGTCTCACATGGCTCTACACTGACCTTCTGTTTTCATTGGTAATATATTTAGTTGGTGTGTTTGATTAATGATCATTGTTTACTATTATTTCTCAGTGATAATTTCACCAAAAAATTATGAATGCACTTATTGTTCTTTATAAAAACCTCAAACTAGGGTTTATTTTTCAGGTTTGTTGGGAGTGATGTTTTAAAAACAAGTAGGAATAATCCTTTGCCACTTTAAGGTCAGATACCTAAATCTTAGTAGTTCTTTAAGGGCAGGTTGTCTTGGAGATGGCGGTACCTACTGAGCTGTGTGCTGTGTGCTTCACTCTGTGCTGTATACCATATATCTGTTGAATGTACGCTTGAGTGCATGCGCTGCTCAGAAGTGACAAGCGCAGGGGAGAGATCAAAACTAAACAACGGTCACTTATTAGAAGTACAAAACGAGGATTTGTAAAGAAGAATGTCGGAGGATTTCGATATAAGCCAAGAAGAGACTGGTTTTCCTTTGTTAAAGTAAGGAAACTTTGCTTCCTTTGCTCCTGTTAACAAACGTTGGTTTTCACGAGACTCACTGGCTCATGCGCAGCGCTGACCTCATACATCATCCGCCCGCAGGTGCTTCTGTGTACAACAGTGAGCGCAAGCTACATTAAAGGGATTATTACATTTTGAATATGGCTATTTTTCTTACAAAAACGCATCGATTCACTACAGGAGGCCTTTGTTCACCCTCGGAGCCGTGTGAGACAATTTTTTATGGATGGGCGCATTTTATTTAACTGCTTTTGGACTGATGCATGCAACACCCACTGAGTGGCATTAAACGGCTTGATAGATCAAAGACAATTTTTAATATAACTCCAACTGGATTCGTCTGAAAGAAGAAAGTCATATACACCTAGGATGACTTGAGTGTGAGTAATTTATGGACTAATTTTAATTTTTGGGTGAACTAACCCTTTACTATACCTACATGTAGTTATTTTTATGTATTTATGTATTTTTTAATTTATTAATATTTTAGCATATTTGTCCAGTAACCAGTTTGATTCTGAAAAGCCAGATTTCTCTTTTTCTTTTCCATTTTCTCTCTGACAGGCATTGCAGTGTTCTGCTATTCTGTAGCGGTGTCTGTTGGTGGGATCTTAGCCTCCCGCTACCTGCACCAGACGATGCTCTACAATGTCCTGAGATCGCCCATGTCTTTCTTCGAACGCACACCCAGTGGCAACCTGGTCAACCGCTTTGCCAAAGAGACGGACACCATTGACTCGGTCATCCCTAGCATCATAAAAATGTTCATGGGCTCCATGTTTAATGTGCTGGGTTCATGTGCTGTCATCCTCATCGCCACACCGCTGGTGGCTATCATCATCCCTCCGCTGGGCCTGCTTTACTTCTTTGTACAGGTCAGTCAGTTATTTTACCATGCAGCTGCTTGAAAGGAAAGGTTAGTAATTCTTTAGGCTAAAACACATTTAGATAGAAATGGTTCAAGATCTAAAACTTCAGTGTAAGTGTAGTAATGGTGGTTGCTGCTCTGACATTTGCCTTTTTGTCTCTATTAGCGTTTCTACGTGGCGTCCTCTCGGCAACTGAAACGACTGGAGTCTGTGAGCCGCTCTCCTGTCTACACACACTTCAACGAGACGCTGCTGGGCACCAGTGTGATCAGAGCATTTGGAGAGCAGCAACGCTTCATCAGAGAGAGTGACGGAAGAGTGGACCTCAACCAAAAAGCTTATTTCCCCAGCATTGTAGCCAACCGGTGAGAATTCGCAGAAGATCACCAGGTTTTTTTTTTTTTTCCCCTGGTTTAGGTCTATTAGGTGTCATTAAGTTTGATATAGTAGTGTCTTGTTTTTTGGAAAGCTGATGATTTGTGTGTGTCTTTGTGCCTCTGCAGATGGCTGGCAGTGAGGTTAGAGTTTGTGGGCAACTGTATTGTGGCATTTGCAGCGCTTTTTGCAGTGATGGCCAGGGACAGTCTGAGTCCAGGTATCATGGGACTGTCCATCTCTTATGCGCTGCAGGTCAGTCTAACTTCTAAAATGATGAGATACAGACCAAATGTACATCCGAATCCTTACTAGTTCCGTATTTCTCACAGGTCACAACATCTTTGAACTGGCTGGTGCGGATGTCCTCTGAGGTGGAGACTAACATAGTGGCAGTGGAGAGGGTAAAGGAATATGGAGACACAGAAAAAGAGGTCAGTGCACCAGCAGGCAAATTGTGTGTGTGTTCATTCTGTTCTTGTGTAGAGTCCAATCTGTGATTAGCCCTGCTTCCTCCCTTATCTCACACTGTACTAGAGAGATGAGGATATTTAGCACACATGGAGGGGTGGGGGATAGTATATGTCCACAAAATGTGGCACTAGTTTCCGGAGATTTCGGTAATATATTTGACGTCTCCATGGACTTTTTCTTTGCCAACATCAGGATTTTAGGCTATAATTTGTATTAATTTATGAAACGTGATCTTGTAGCTGATCTTTTTTCTATTTGGTATGCTGACCACTGGACAAGGTTTTTTTTTTTTTTTTTTACTATTTCTAATAAACTTTTTTTCTTCACTTGTTAAATTTAAATGGACCGGCAGTTTGACAAATGAGTTTTTAAAAGTGATTTTTTAAAATTGTTTTTTTTTTATTTAAATGATTACGTACACTTTATAAAAATTTGATTATTTATACTAACATTCAAATGTTTATACTTTTATTCAGCAAGGATGCATTAAATTGATCAAAAGTGACTGTATATACAGTATCTCAGTCCACACACACACAAAGATATCTAAGGATCATGTGACACTAAAGACTGGAGTAATGGCTTATGAAAATTCAGCTTTGCATCACAGGAATAAATTACACTTTAAATTATATCATAATAGAAAAGTTATTTGAAATTGTTACAAATATTTCACAAAATTGCTGTTTTCACTGTATTTGTGGTCAAATAAATGCAGTCTGGTTGAGCATAAGAGCTTTTTTTCCAAAAACATTTCAAACATCCTACCAGCCCTAAACGGTAGTGTAATAAACAGTCAGCTAATTCAAATAGTATTAGATGAACTACAGCATGTCACACTGCAGAACATATCAATGTCCCAAAAGTGTTTCAAGTTAACTTCATGTATTTCTGGTTTCAGTGTTAAAGATGGATTGTTGAGATGTGGTTGATCTATGCTGCATTAATGTCTCTGTTTACAGGCTGAATGGAGGTTGGAGCACTCAACTCTGCCTGCTGGCTGGCCGACCACTGGTCATATTGAAATCCGCAACTTTGGCTTGAGATACAGAGAGGACTTAGAGCTGGCTATTTCTGATATCTCGGTCAACATTGAGGGAGGAGAAAAGGTGCCTGGAGCCATTGCAATATTCAGAATCTGCTCAAGCTTTGACTTCATCAATAAACACATTTTTTCCTTATAAACATGCAACGTTAATCATGTATGTATTTGTGTGTTTTTCTTAGGTGGGAATTGTGGGTAGGACAGGAGCAGGAAAGTCCTCATTGACATTAGGGCTCTTCCGCATCATCGAGGCAGCTCAGGGGGAGATTTGTGTAGATGGAGTCAACATCGCTGAGCTGGGCCTGCATGAGCTACGGTCCAGAATCACAATCATTCCTCAGGTACCGCACTTAAATACACCTAAGACCTAAACATTTATTTAAAGTCACTCAATCTTTTTCAATCTGTTCAATTGCTTTCAGAATGATTTAGTTAACTTGCCAATGAAAATTGAACTCCTTTTCCTCTGTCTCAGGATCCAGTGCTGTTCTCTGGTTCCTTGCGTATGAATCTGGACCCCTTTGATGGCTACACTGATGAGGAGGTCTGGAGAGCTCTGGAACTCGCACATCTCAAGAACTTTGTGTCTGGCCTGCCTGACAAACTCAACCATGAGTGTTCAGAGGGAGGAGAGAATCTCAGGTACAAACCCCTTCTCAGCAATGTTTACTCATCATTTCATAAACATCTGATATGACTGTTTCTGATTGGATATTCTGGGCTTCAGTTTGGGTCAGCGGCAGCTGGTTTGCCTGGCCCGAGCTCTCCTGAGGAAGACCAAGATTCTGGTTTTGGATGAAGCCACTGCAGCTGTAGACCTGGAGACAGACAATTTAATACAGTCCACTATCAGAACTCAGTTTGAGGACTGCACTGTTCTAACCATCGCCCACCGTCTCAACACCATCATGGACTACACTAGGTAAACTTTTTTTTTTTAAATAACGAAACTTCATCAAATAGCGAAATATGAAATAATAATAAAACTATTATATAAATAATAATAAAATTGAAAGACTATCCTCACACTATATTATAATTGTTATATAACAATACTTTAAAAATGTTCCCTCATTTTTTTTCTTAAAAGGGTGCTGGTTCTCGATAAAGGCCAGATGGCAGAATTTGATTCTCCGTCCAATTTAACTGCCAAGAAGGGAATTTTCTACAAGATGGCCAAAGACTCAGGTTTGGTCTGAAAAGTAGAGGGGCTGAAGAGCCCTCTGTTCATCCAGGACATATCACTGACTAGAGCCCTTGGAGAGTGGACCTTGCGAGACATGGACTCTGAAGGTACTTCTTCTGTGGGCCTGGAGCTCACACACACACAGTGTGAACATGACACCACTGCATCCTCAGCTACTGTAGCCCTCTGTTTTCAATCACATTTGAAAGGTTTCACTGCAAATGCTGCTTTAAAGGTTGTTTGATGCCAACATTTGGGAGGTTTGAAACTAGTTTGATTTATTCATGGCTGTTTTTGTTGTCCGTTTTCATTTGGAAGACTTCTCAGTTTACCACTAAGCCACACTTTGCTGCTAGTGGTTGATTGTTAGTAATGAAAACAATTATATTTGCAACATTTGTTTCACTAGAAAGAGTAAAGAACAAAGTTTCTCTGTGCAGTGTACCATTGATGCAGTGATCAATTGTTGATTGACCAAACAGCTGCTGGGAAATCCCTCCATGAGCAGGAGGTACTTCACCCCGAGCCAAAGTTAATATTTGAAGCTATTCTCATTATCAAAGAAGCAACACATTTGAAATTTCTAGTTTCATCTCCAGATAGCCATTGTTTGCTCTCATTTGATCTTTATTTATAGTTTGAGAAAATCTGTTACAATATTTATTTTCTTTATATCAAATTATTTTATCATATAACATATTTATTACTGGGTATCTCCCACTAATGGCGACTTAAGCCTCATCTTACCAATATCACGCAGAAGAGTCTACACTGACCTTCTGTTTTCATTGGTAATATATTTAGTTGGTGTGTTTGATTAATGATCTTTGTTTACTATTATTTCTCAGTGATAATTTCACCAAAAAATTATGAATGCACTTATTGTTCTTTATAAAAACCTCAAACTAGGGTTTATTTTTCAGGTTTGTTGGGAGTGATGTTTTAAAAACAAGTAGGAATAATCCTTTGCCACTTTAAGGTCAGATACCTAAATCTTAGTAGTTCTTTAAGGGCAGGTTGTCTTGGAGATGGCGGTACCTACTGAGCTGTGTGCTGTGTGCTTCACTCTGTGCTGTATACCATATATCTGTTGAATGTACGCTTGAATGCGCCACGTTGTTTCATTCATCAGTACCTCCACTCTAGATCATTTAAGCCTTCTGAGTTTTTTAAAGGCCAATCAGTTTTTTTTAAGGAACTGACAAAGACACCCTTTGAATGATAAAAAATATATATCTGATTTGTTACATATTTATATGATTTGTATGTAAACAAAGTTATTATTTGATATTTGTATACATGCACTAGTTTTAAGTGTGCTTAGTTTCATAAATCAGGCTTATATGTACAGGGGAAATATGAATAAATTTTTGTAAAGAGCCTTTTGTTAGTGTTTTAACAGTGTTGTACTTCTGAAATCAGTCTTTCAAAATGTTTTGTCACAGTGAGAAGGAAAACGATTTCTGATCACTACTACCAACATTTATTTTACTGAAGCTGTCCAGAAAATAAAAAAAGCATTTTCAAGTTTGACAGTCTCTCATGAAGTGTGCATGGAAATGTTATAAATATATATAAAAAACAGTACAAAATACATAAATACAGATTTAAAGTTTTAGATTATGGAAAAAATACTAGTATTAATACATAGACAAATTCAGTATAAGGATGTTGCATTGTTTTTAACATTAAAGGATCTTTCTTACATCATAAATATCTTAAAATAGATGCATCTTTTCACCTTTATGGGAATTTAGGGTTTAATGAGCTGATATAATTAAGAAATTCATGTAACAACCTGAAAAGGTTCAAGTAGAATTGTGACTAGTTCTGCAGCTGTGTTATGCCAGGATCTACAACAATATAAGGAACTGACAAAGACACCCTTTGAATGATAAAAAATATATATCTGATTTGTTACATATTTATATGATTTGTATGTAAACAAAGTTATTATTTGATATTTGTATACATGCACTAGTTTTAAGTGTGCTTAGTTTCATAAATCAGGCTTATATGTACAGGGGAAATATGAATAAATTTTTGTAAAGAGCCTTTTGTTAGTGTTTTAACAGTGTTGTACTTCTGAAATCAGTCTTTCAAAATGTTTTGTCACAGTGAGAAGGAAAACGATTTCTGATCACTACTACCAACATTTATTTTACTGAAGCTGTCCAGAAAATAAAAAAAGCATTTTCAAGTTTGACAGTCTCTCATGAAGTGTGCATGGAAATGTTATAAATATATATAAAAAACAGTACAAAATACATAAATACAGATTTAAAGTTTTAGATTATGGAAAAAATACTAGTATTAATACATAGACAAATTCAGTATAAGGATGTTGCATTGTTTTTAACATTAAAGGATCTTTCTTACATCATAAATATCTTAAAATAGATGCATCTTTTCACCTTTATGGGAATTTAGGGTTTAATGAGCTGATATAATTAAGAAATTCATGTAACAACCTGAAAAGGTTCAAGTAGAATTGTGACTAGTTCTGCAGCTGTGTTATGCCAGGATCTACAACAATAAACTACAAATTTCCACAAATCTTCACTTTGACAGCAGTGAGAGGTGGTGAAAATGGCTGTGCACACCCTCTGACCATCTGAAGTGTGCATTATATTTACCTACTGAACACCTCTACGGTAAGATAACGTTACTCAAGTCTTCGTATTCTGAGATGAGACTGTTGACGACATGAGGAATCAGTCTGTTCTTTTAGCGCCTCAGATCTCAGTTAAAGAATCAGCAGGTGAATGCTGAAGCACACCACTTTTGTAATACTGGAGAAAACGTGGACACCTGAACGGCTATTACTGGCAAAACCTCTTCACCCTGATCTTTGTGCTTCTCTTGTTTGAGAAGGTAAGATATGCCCTTTAGCAAGTTGTGTAATGAAAAGTTTCAGGTAGTCTGAGCAGGTGTATTGGTGAGATTTCTGCACCATTTTTATAGTCTCTCCTGAGGGAAGAGATGATTTTGTCATTGATGGTTCCTCTGGTATTGAAGGTTCACACTAGCCCAGCCTCCCGGCACATTCGATAGAACTGACCATGCTGAGAGATCAGATTAGTTGGAGAGTCCATTTCTGTGATGTGCCCTCTGTCCATCACAGTAACCCTGTTGGGAACATTTGAATAGGGTTGAGTTTGAACAATCATAATCATATTCTTGGAAATAAACACATGCTCTTTGTTATACCTAGTGTAGTCCATGATGGTGTTGAGACGGTGGGCGATGGTCAGAACGGTGCAGTCCTCAAACTGAGTTCTGATAGTGGACTGTATTAAATTGTCTGTCTCCAGGTCTAGAGCTGCAGTGGCTTCATCCAAAACCAGAATCTTGGTCTTCCTCAGGAGAGCTCGGGCCAGGCAAACCAGCTGCCGCTGACCCAAACTGAATATCCAGTCAGAAACAGTCATATCAGATGTTTATGAAATAATGAGTTAACATTGCTGAGAAGGGGTTTGTACCTGAGATTCTCTCCTCCCTCTGAACACTCATGGTTGAGTTTGTCAGGCAGGCCAGACACAAAGTTCTTGAGATGTGCAAGTTCCAGAGCTCTCCAGACATCCTCATCAGTGTAGCCATCAAAGGGGTCCAGATTCATACGCAAGGAACCAGAGAACAGCACTGGATCCTTGGGGGAAAAAAGGTTGAAAATAGTTTTTTTTTTTTTTTTTTTTTTAAGTTTGTCAGGGTATTCAATCCTTTTTTTCCATTTTCAGGTGTACCTGTGGGATAATGGTGATACGAGACCTCAGTTCATGCAGTCCAATCTCTGCAATGTTTATCCCATCTATGAAGATCTTTCCTTTTGCCGCCTCAAGGATCCGGAAGATTCCGAGAGCAAGAGATGATTTTCCGGCCCCTGTTCTTCCCACAATTCCAACCTCAATAGATTCAGTAAATTGCTTAGAATGTAATAAAAAATAAAGCACAAATATGACACAATGTGTTCAGATGTTATATTTACTTTCTCTCTCTCATTAACACTGAGAGAAATTTCTTTTAAGGCCCAGTCAAGACCCCCGCGGTACTGAAGTCCATATTCCTGGAATCCAATGGATCCGGATTTGGGCCAGTCTGATGGGAGTGAACTGTCCTCGATTGTCCATGGTGCCTGCGACAACCCAAGACTTACTCAGTGACCTCAAGAATGAACGTACAAATATAATTTGGTCTCTTTATATAAAGGAATTCATAGGAAAAAAACAGCCTTCAGACCAACATTACCTCTTTTGTTGTTTCGGCATATTCCTTCACTCGCTCAACAGACACAATGTTGTTTTCTACATCTGTCCATGCTCGCACAATCCAGCTCAGGATCCCAGTTACCTGCAATGTATTTTTTCTTGAGAAGTTGTTGCTTAATAGGCTTGCCTAACATGTGTGGTTGTCCAAATATTTTCAAAGACTTTTTGATGAGTTTCCTACCTGGAGAGAGTGCGACACAGCCAGTCCCACGATTCCAGGGCTTAAAGTTGCCCTTCCCATAACAGAGAGAATAGCTGCAGCAAGGACTAGCAAGTTACCCAGGAACTCTAGATTTACTGCCAGCCACCTATTGGAATAACATTAAAGATATTGTATAGAGTTAGACTGGATTAACAGTACCAAAATTGAATAAGCCAAGACTGAATCTGACCTGGTTGCCACAAATCTTGGGAAATAGGATGTTTGATTGTGGTCCACTCGGCTGTTAGCCAGTAGGATAAACCTAGACTGTTCTCCAAAGGCCCGAATCACACTGGCTCCTTGGACTGTCTCATTGAAATTAGTATAGATGGGTGATCGACTCACCGACTCCAGTCTACGCAACTGGCAGGATGTGGCCACGTAAAAGCTCTGAAAACACAGGAGAATAGATGTCAGACTGGTGCTCCTTGTTATGATACTCTTGCATGCTGAGCAATCTCCTAGTAGCATACCTGGATAAAGGCATAGAACAGAGTTAGCGGCAGTATGATCACTCCTGCAAAAGGAGTCGCCATCAGCACGATAATGCAAACCTCCAGAAGTTTGAACACATAGCCCAGCATCATCTTCAGCCCATCAGGGATCATGCAGTCAATGGCGTCTATCTCTTTAGAGAAACGATTGAGAAGGTTACCACTAGGTGTACTCTCAAAGAACGACATAGGAGAGTGAAGTACATTGTTGAGAAGGTCCAAATGAAGATGCCGGGATGCAATTATTCCTCCAAGTGAAATGGCCACAGTAGTGCCAAATATTGCAATTCCTGCAATACAACAACACCATTAAGGATCAAGAACAATACAAAGTCCAAGGATACTCAATGAGGGTTGAGGAACATGAGGGATTTCGAACCTTGTGCAAATCCGAGAGCTCCAAAAACACCAATCTTCAGATCCGTGTCGACCTGTGTTCCATTTACAACCGGGTCATCTGCCCACAGGCTTAGCCAGTAGTTGTAGGCCAGTGAGGCAGCTTGCTGGAATGCGTAGAGGAAGATGACAGGGATGATGAAGGCCAAGCCGATGGTCCTGAAGTACTCCACGTACATCTCCAGTTTCACCTATGTGTGACCCATTATGGAAAAGAACGTGTGAGGAATGACACTCTGGATGATATAGTGCACTTTCAGGCTATATTATGGTGTTTGGAACAATGAAGCTCAAAGACCTGTAATCAGGGGTTAAAATTAGATCTCTGTGGTGACATGAGAGCATCTGAAACCCTTATCGCTGACCCGTAGCTGAACTTTAAAACTGATCTGCCACTCTAAATCTTTGGCCTTTGGTATTGAGTTACATGTGAAGGTATATTTTGATGTGTCTACCCATTGTTTGAAATGTCTGTGGATGTGGCTCTTACTTACTCGGCCTGTATGAGCTTTGTCAGCCTGGGTGAGTCTCCCAACTTCCTCCTGGTCCTGCTCCTGTTCTGTGTCAGATATGGCCTCCATGGTTTGTATACTGGCACTTCCCATGTCTCCGCTTTATTAAACAAAATTGACAGAAAGGTAAATATGTGCTCCTGAATAACATTTGCATTTTCATTATCAAAACTTAGTGACTTTTACCTGATGAGTTGCTCCTGGGAGAGGTCAATAGAGAAGTCTGTCATGCTGAGACGAGATACTGATTTTCTGGTCCCTAAAACAAGGCGAATCTGCATTTTTAACTGTGTCAACATAAAAAAGTGTCATTGTAGTAACTCATCAAGCACTCATTCTTTTAGCTTACCTCTGTGGGTGGCACTTTCCTTGCGTTCGCTAATGGAAAAAGCTTTAACAAAGTCTGCAAAGGTGTTCTTTCTACTCAAAAGCTCGGCATAAGTGCCCATCTCCGTGATTTCTCCATTCTCTATCACCAGAATCAGGTCAGCCTGGGGCAGGAAGCTCAGCCCGTGGGTCACCAGAACCCGAGTCTGTTTTAGCAAGCATTGGAGAGCATCATCAAGCAAGCTATTTAGTTTGTTATTTTAAGCCTGAAAGGTTCCCTTTCCATTCAAAATCTGGAAAGTGAATTCAATTGGCTACATCCACAGAAATTTTAATTGGAATGACAGGAAGAGAAATTTGCTAAATCGCAGTCTATCTATCTGTCTAACCAATAAACCTTCAAAAGCTTTTTTAAAGATTTTTCAAAAACAATTTTAATTCTGCTTCCTTACATTCAAATTCAAATTGTGATTCTGCATCCTCTTTGCTACTTCAATTTACAATGTAACAATTCACATATTAGATTTTAAAGGGATAGTTCACCCAAAAATAAAATTCTGTCATTAATTACTCACCCTCATATCGTTCTGTAAACCTGTAAGACCTTCATTCAACTTTGGAACACAAATTAAGATATTTTTGATGAAATCCGAGAGCTTTCTGACCCTCCATAGACCCTGTAGTTGAACAAAGGTCTTACAGATTTAGAACGACAAGAAGGTGAGTAATTAATGACAGAATTTTAATTTTTTTGGGAGAACTAACCCTTTAAGGTAACATTATCTTACTCGTGTTTTAATGTTTACCTTATTTTTAAGAACGCCATTAGGTCCGATGACCTTTTCAAAGATATGCTGACCCACATGTGCATCCACAGCTGACAAAGGATCATCCAGAAGGTAGATATCAGCCTTTCTGTAGACTGCACGTGCCAGACTCACTCTCTGTTTCTGACCTCCTGACAAATTCAGACCCTGTGAACATTGTAAAAATGTAGTGGGAGTTTAGTCTGCTGATACCCTGCATATTTGGTGTTTAAAAAATAAATTATATTTAATACCTTTTCACTTTATTCTATCATGTCAGAATCATTCTTACAGAAGTCTATTTTTACCTTCTCTCCAATCTCTGTGGCATCTCTTGCAGGTAGGATCTCCAGGTCTGGTAGAAGAGCACAGGCCTCTAACACCTTCTGGTACCAGCTGTCTTTCCTCTCACGTCCAAACAAAATGTTGTCTTTGAGAGTGGCGTTCTGGATCCATGCTTGCTGAGGCACGTAAGCCACAGAGCCCTGAAAGAAAGTATTAGAAAATGTATATGTGGAATATGTGAATGATGCCAATATATTTTTTGTAATTTTTCTGAATGATTTACCGAAACTATGACGTGGCCACTTTTCTTTTCCATTTCTCCCAACATTGCAGACAGAAGAGAGGATTTTCCACTGCCCACATGACCTACCACAGCCACCAGTGAGCCCAGCTGCACTTTGACATTGATCCTGCAGAAATGAACCATTGCCAGATTATCATCTTTATATGTTTAGGAATGGTAGACCTACTGAGATCTTTCAGCAGTTATTTCAATTTACAGTAAGGGATAAATATGTTCAAAGGGACCAACCTCCTGAGACATGGTGTGCTATCTTTAGACCAGCTGAAAGTACCGTTGTCAATAACAACACCATCAATATCTGACAAAAAGAGGAAATAAAGAGGTGTTTTTTTTTGTCATTTACACACTGGCGTTCCAAACCTCTATGATTTTCTATACTCTGCAGGATATTTAAAGATTTTTTTATGCTCTATTTAGTGCAGTTACAATGAATATTAGCTTAAAAAGGACACAGAGATACCATAAAAATATCATAAAATTGGTCCATACAACTCTTGGACATGACAGTATATTTTAATAAATATTGTGAAGACATATAATAGCTTTGTGAGAGAAACAGACTAAAACAGTTTTCACTGAAACTAAACTGTTTCAGAAATTAACTGAATCTGAATTTCTAAAATGAACCAAAAGTAGTCTGATTCAGTTAATTTCTTAAACAGGTTAGTTTGGAAGAAGTGTCATATAGGTTTGGAATGACTTGAAGGTGAGCAAATGATCACAGAAATTTCATTTTTGGGTGAACTGTCTCTTTAAGTGTGTATTGCATTTGAGGCTCATAAAACAATTCCACAAGTTAATGAGGCAACAGGATGATGATAATTATTTAGGCTAATACGTTTCCATAATTATTTAAAAATCATCCATGGGATATTATTATTCACGTGGCTCTGTTATTAATGGTATTCCGATTCAGAAGCAGAAACATTTTCACAAAAACTTCTCTTTGACCTTTAATATAAAAAGTTGCATTTTTAACAAATCAATTTTAAAATAGGCCTTTAACACACAAAAATGTGGAAAAGTTATATAAATATAATTACAGCTCCAAAGCTGAAAATCCCCTTTAACCGCTGCATGAAATCATCATGCGCATTTCAGCCACTACCAACACCCACCTCATAGCCACACAATTCCCTTGTAGTGTTTCTCGAATTACAGCTTTTAAATTCAAATAAGCTTGTTTTGCAGAATAACAGGAAAAATCTCTGTATTGCTCAACATGTATTAACAATGTTGGTCAGCTTATAAGCTGTTGTATGTCAGAGCAAAGTCTGAAAACTATGACCAGCTAATGCACTCACCAGGATGGTAGGGAGCTCTCTCCACACTATCCCGTTTCAGCTCGTCTTGACAGAGAAACTTCCCGAGGCGTTTGAGAGACACCACAGCCTTAGAAACAAGAAAAAACAAAGTTATCTTCAAAAGTTTCTTCACAAATATAAAAACATAAGCGTTCAAATATTTGCTGCTTACCTGCATGGTAGTGCTCATTGCAAAGGGCAGTTGACTGAGTGGAGCTTTGAGAATATTGATAAGAGCCATGGACACAAAGATCCTCTACTGCATGAAGTCATCATGCGCATTTCAGCCACTACCAACACCCACCTCATAGCCACACAATTCCCTTGTAGTGTTTCTCGAATTACAGCTTTTAAATTCAAATAAGCTTGTTATGCAGAATAACAGGAAAAATCTCTGTATTGCTCAACATGTATTAACAATGTTGGTCAGCTTATAAGCTGTTGTATGTCAGAGCAAAGTCTGAAAACTATGACCAGCTAATGCACTCACCAGGATGGTAGGGAGCTCTCTCCACACTATCCCGTTTCAGCTCGTCTTGACAGAGAAACTTCCCGAGGCGTTTGAGAGACACCACAGCCTTAGAAACAAGAAAAAACAAAGTTATCTTCAAAAGTTTCTTCACAAATATAAAAACATAAGCGTTCAAATATTTGCTGCTTACCTGCATGGTAGTGCTCATTGCAAAGGGCAGTTGACTGAGTGGAGCTTTGAGAATATTGATAAGAGCCATGGACACAAAGATCCTCTGAGCATCCAGAACATGCTTCTCATCAAGCAGCACATACACCCCAAACATGGCAAATGCAATCTGAAGGCAAAGTGGCGTACATGATGAAACTCTACAGTTGTAAGGACTATATTAATGTGTCAAGATGATGACGATGATGAAATGTACCAAGAAAGTGGAGGAGTTGAAGGAGGCAATGGATATGGAGTAAAGAATCTGAGACTTCTTCAGAGCATTCAGCTCTTTTTCCCGATAGCCAATAACACGTTCTCTGAAGGCATTCTCCCAGGCATAAAACTTCAGGATCTTTATTCCGCTCAAGATCTCGTTCATAAGCTTAATGCGTCCGTCCATGTACTTCATCTGGACCTCCTGAGAGCAGCAAACATGCGAATTGAGAATCGCGCAAGCAAACTTGTTTACGAGACCAGACAGAAACCAATATGGACGAGTTTCAATTCTTTGGGTGTTTGAGACAAGGCAAATAAAGACATTTCAATTTTACAACAAAGCAAAATCCTGTGGTTTCTACCATGTTCATAACATCAGAGAATCGAAGGGCAGACTGTCCACATGCTCGTGTTTTAAATCATTTGTAGGCATGAAGCAGTTCCTGGGACGACGTGTACCGACACAAACTCAGTCGCCACAGCACAAATATCATCATGGAAATTTGACTGATTGGAACCATATAGACTATACCTGGAGCTTGCTTCTCATTTTGGCAATGAACCCATTCAAAGGGAAGATGAGAATTACAGTGGCGATGCCAGCCAACGCAGATGGGCCAAGGCGCTGTACAGGGGTCAGACATTTCAATTAATGAATTTGAGATCTGTGCTCTCAGAAATATTGTGCATAAAATTGGGGTACAACAGCTTGTCACTTAAAGGGTCATATGTGTACCTTTTTTAACCCTAAAATGTTCATAGTTAGTAATAGTTGTACTTGATAAGGTACCAATTTGTCCCAGTACCTCTAAAGCAGGGGTCTCCAAACTCGGTCCTGGAGGGCTGGTGTCCTGTAGAGTTTAGCTCCAACTTGCCTCAACACACCTGCCTGGAAGTTTCTTGTACGCCTAGTAAGACCATGATTAGCTGGTTCAGGATGTTGTTTTATTAGGGTTGGAGCTAAACTCTGCAGGACACCGGCCCTCCAGGACCAAGTTTGGAGACCCCTGCCCTAGAAATACAATTTTGTGCGTTTTTTCCTACCGTATAACAATCCAACATACTGTAGAAGAAAAATAAACAAGCGTCTGTTCTCACCTGCCAGAGGAAGAAAAGACACAAGGCTATTTCAATCGGGGCCACCCACACTGCATTGAAGTACACCACGAAATCCATGAGTTTCTGGGTGTCAGCCGAAACCAAGTTCACTATCTCTCCAACTGTACATGTTCTGCGGGCCGCGCTGTTGATGACCAGAGACTGTAGAGAGCAGAATGTATGTGAGAACCATTATATGCATCTTTGCATTTGCTAGAAAACCTTTCAAATGCCTACCTTCCTGTACACTAGGCCCATGACTGCAGTTTTAACCCTCATGCCTACTGTGAAGCATGCATACATGTACTGATGGTTGAACAGGGACTGCAGACAAGACAATAGAAACATCAAGAAGGCAAAGAGGTAACCCTTCCACAAGGGGGCGTCTTCATCCCTCACAAAGCCAAGCAGTAGACTGAAGAACAAGAAACATACACCAAACATAAGCCAAAGATAAAGAAACTGGAATGTGAACATAATTTATGACTATAAATATGAGTCTTTCTAGACCTGATACAGCTGAGCCTGAACACTATTATCCCCATGCATCAATGTTTCTCAGAGTGCCACAGTTCCTGTGGTTCTGGAGCAGTGAACCCACCAATGTGCTCTTGGCTTGCTATATGCCAGACAGAGTGGCTTAATTTGATGATCCAAATCCAGTTTCTTCTGAGCTATAGCTCAGCCACAAAGAATATGATGCTGCAGCGAGCAGACTCTCCTAAGTGTCGTGGACTCGTGGTGCATGGGGCATAATTAACAGTGTGGGGCTGCACCACAGCAGGATGTTATTCCTGTCTGTGACGGGAGTTCACACTCAAAACTGAGAAAGGGCAACAAGTTCACTTTACAACTGTGTGCTAAAGGTCTTGCTCTACATTTGCACCCAGGCATGTGTTTTCTTATAAAATAACATTCAAAACTGATATGTAGATATTTCCCAGATGCAAAAATATGTTTTAGTCTTAACTGAATAAATGATTTTGAAAGCACTCTTTTTGTTTTTACACTCAAAGAAATTAATAATATTTAAAAATGTTTAAAATTATTCAAATTTTATGACATTTTTAATATCAGTAACTGGGCACATATGACTTTAGGATTGGTAGTACAGTAAAATTTTTACAGATTATTTTATTCATCAAGGAAATGGTAAATAGATCAAAATAACATTAAATACATTTATAATGTTACAAAATCTGTTCATTTGAACTTATTCAATAAAAGAGAAATAAAAATGAAATAAAAATGGTGGTTTCTACAAAAATATTAGGTAGCACAACTTTCAATATTGATAATAATAAGTTTCTTAATCATGAATTCATCATATTAGCATGATTTCTGAAGGATAATGTGACTGAAGACTGGAGTAATGATGCTGAAAATTCAGCTTTACCATCACAGGAATAAATTACATAAAAAAAAGGGAATAGTCATTTTTAATGTATTTTTAATTAAATGTAGCCTTGGTGAGCATAAAAGGCTTCTTTCAAATACATTAAATCTGACCAACTTCTGAACAGTAGTGTATCTTATACTAAATGCCACATGCTATATACAGTTTCATTTTACATGCCATGACAGCATTAATGTGTCTCTCACCTTAACACTTGTGGTATGGAGAACATGAAAGCATCTTGAATGACCAAACAGAGAGTTCCTGTCAGAAAGTAAGGGCCAAAGTTTTTGGCTAGCGTCCGGAGCAGACAGAAGCCTGAGATTTGTTCTTTATGAAGTTTTCTGAGCAGTTGCGTCTGCTCGCTCAGTTTATAACCAAGAGCTTGTGCTCCATTCAGAGTGCTCTCTTGCCTTGTTTGAGGGAGAAAACACAACATTTTGATCCAGACTTTAGTCTCTGGTATATTGGTGCAAGCATTGCTGCAACAAAGTAAAGAAGTTGTACTTTGTTAATTAATAATACAAATAAATCAGTAGTTATGAACAGGCAAATTACGAACATCACATATTTTCATCACCTCAGGATGGAAGACATGCAGTTAAGGAAACAGCAGGTGTCTTACTGTTGCATTTTGGCCCATTGCTTGGCCCACTCTTTCTCCAGATCACAAATGATTTTTTCAGATGTATCCTCTTCTCGTAGAGACCAGAGGTCTTCAGCTTGTAAAGGTGAGCGGTAGCCCTTTACCACCAATCTGGGGAGCAGGAATATGTGTGTTTCTCAGTATCTCATGGGTTTTTATTCTGCAGACCTCAATAAAATCAGAGACAAAAATATGACTACCTGCCGTACCACCAAAACAGTACTTTTGAAAGGAAAGAAGCATCCTCAACTGGACATGGGTTCTAGTGGAAAAATAGTATGTCCAGGTATTATTTTTTTCACCATGTTTCAAATATTTATTTACTAATTTTTAAAAAATCCATTATAACACGAAAGACACTGTACCTTTACATATATAGGTTTAAGAGTCGCTGGGCGCTGATCAGCGAAACAGCTGAGGATGAGCTGAGCCAACTGGAGAGTGAAGAATGTGAAAAATGCCACGAATCTCATCGCATCTGCAGAGAAACCCTGTAACACACATGACTGGTTATCAGCAGAATGTAGACAGCAGCGCGGAGCACATCACACAAATATGGTACACTCATTCTAAAGCAATTGGAAGCAGAAATGTTTATTTTTTCCAATGTTTTATTGGTATGAATGTTAGACAAACTAGTATATAACATTAATTAATTGTCTGTGTCCCTCCTCTTTAAACTGCAATTTTGGCCCATCACACCACAGAATAAAACCAACATAATCTTTGATAGTGAACTTTGAGATTTGATATCTTAAATATTGCACAATAAATACAACTATTTGAAAATCTGGAATCTGAGGTTGCAAAAAAATCTAAATATTGAGAAAATCGCCTTTAAATTTGTCCAAATGAAGTTCTTAGCAATACATATTACTCATCAAAAATACATTTTTTAAATAATTACGGTAGGAAATGTACAAAATATCTTCATGGAACATGATCTTTACTTACGGTAATATCCTAATGACTTTTGGCATAAAAGAAAAATCGATCATTTTGACCCATACAATGTATTGTTGGCTATTGCTACAAATATACCCCAGCGACTTATGACTGGTTTTCTGCTCCAGGGTCACAATGCATGTATGTAAATTGAAAAACCTTGACCTAAGCAGTAATAAACTCTTGTTTTTTGGGACAAATTGAACTATGTGACAAATTAATTATTAAATAACACTCAATGTATTGATTCTCCCCTTCTGTGGAGACGACCAACTAGGCATATAAGTGGTGTATACACATTTGCCAGGGATTTCCCAAGGAGACATAACCACATAAGCTGCATGCTTCCTGTGGGATCATATCCATATTTTCTCTTCCGTCTGCCTAAGCACCAGGACTGATCTGAGATCAGCCGCCCACTTTGTCTCACCGCAGTGTGCGGAGGCGGGACTGGTGGCTGATGTGGGGAGTGTTCTTTTGGGGATGTTGCCTGCTGTTCCCCTCCCTTCCTTTCAAAGACCTCAGCTTATTATAATGACCTAAATGTTCCATCAAACCAGGATTAATGACACAACAAACCTTTTTATGAACACTTCTAAATCATGGTAAAAAATACAGACCACAGACACATATTTATGCCAACAGACCCAAACTCTTCATTCACAGCTTCTAAGAGTATAATGGTGGTTGGTAATAGTATTCAATAAGCATTCAATTGCAACAACTAGACTTCAGCTAAAACTACCAAAACTTGCAGATGATCTACGAAGCAGCGCATCTGCTTTTCAATCAGCCAAATAGAAGCAATTTGACTAGTTATAGAATTCTATTTATAAAATTCTAAAATAATTCTACTTATAAATAATGCTTCTGTTTGTATTATTGTTTTACAGTAATTTCAGTTGTTGTTCGGGACAAAGTTTCACCATGTTGTGTTTGACCTGTTTGTGTAGTGCTCGATACAAGGTTCAAGATTTGTTTGAGAGAAAATATGCAGGTCAGGGTTTTAGGTTCAAAACAGCTGGCCTGCCAGAGGCCTGGAGCTGCTATTGAAAGTTTTACAGGGGCCACCAAGGGCATCCATGCCTATGGGCTTCTGACAGAAACTGTCAAATGGCCACGATATGAGAGAAAGTGGCAGCGCAGGCCTCTGATGCAGTGAAATAATTATGGAGCGGGAGCATCACAGCAGGCCAGAGACAGACAGACTGAGGGAGAAGTATGGGGATCCGCAGACATATGCGGCTTCTCCTATCAATCTGGAAAAGCACCAGCGCGGATTGGGACTGGTCTCAGCACAGCCTCAGCTCCAGACAAAGAGGGCATTGAGGGAACTGGAAAGGGAAACCCGACAGGCTGCCCAGACGTCAACGCTGAGAACAGCACCATCTGTAAGCACTCTGTTTACGCACCGCTGTGTTCGACTCTCAGACACAACACAGATACTTTTAGAGAGTGTTATTGTGTAACATTCATTAAAAAACCATGCGAGAGCCCGTGTTACGCTTGCATGAATGGAGAATAACACATCATAGGAGATTCAGAGATTAGGGCAACAAGTCAAATCCACTTATTTCTTTTATAGTCTCAAAGCACCATTAATGGCTGTTATAATAGAAACTCTATACGATAGGGGTCAAAATGTCTGTGACTGCAAGTATAAATGCCTCTATTTTGTATTTTACCAATTTAATCTAGTATTTTGTAATAATTACTAATTATATTGGGAGCAGCATTCAAGATAGAACAAGTGTAATCTTCATGCTATTTAGTTTTTTTTTTTTTAATGCTAAAACTTTCTGCATGGGATTTAAATTTTCAGTTTTAAAGTAGATTTCAAATTTTCATTGTACTCTCAGATTTTGGGTCCGCTTTATATTGGGTGAACTCCGGTCTGTCAAAATATCGCTCCGTTTTTATTTTCAGTTTTTAATCAACTAAAAGATTGGTAAGATCAGAAAGCCTGATGGAAAAAACAGCAATTTTTTATGCTTAAAAAAATGGCTAAAGACACATCTCTTCCATCTACACTTGACCCTCTAACACTTGCATTCTCAATTCTATTTGTATTCTATATACTTGTTTCAATTGTATTATAAAAATCTTGTCCATCTAACACTAGCACGCTCTATTCTAATCTATTCTGTTTCTTTTCTATCTACTTGTTTTCTTTTTATTTAAAAAAAGGACCCTCTAACACTAGCACTCTCTATTCTAATTCTATTTCTATTCTATCTACTTGTTTTCTACTTACAAAAAAGTATTTCTTTTATATCTACTTTTTATTCTTTTTATTTTTTGTAAAAAAAAGCTTGCTATGTGCACTGTAGTAGACTATCCAGGACTTGTCACAGCACTTATATTTTGTTGCTCTTTTGTTGATTTGAATGCTACTATTGTCCTCAGTTTAAGTGTAAATGTTACATTTCTACAATAGTTGGATAAACTGGGAATGCACAAACCTCGTCTATGATGGCTTGTATGTTGGCTCTGAGAGGCACCAGTGAGCAGATCACTGCGAGCGTCCAAAACAGAAAGAGAAAGATGGAGGAACGAAAGCCCCTCAGCCTTTCCAAGTGGATCAGCAATACTGCCAGTATCTGAAGACAGTGTATTTCGGTCAGTATGCTAGTCATGGGCAATTTGGGAAATCCAAAACAAACTAGAAGAACAGGACAGAATACCATTAGGCAGCTTAGACATGTTGATATTCGAAAATCTCTCAACCAAAATTTATTGCTTTTATACTAGTATGCAAAGACTACTGTGAATGTTTAGCCTGTGTCAGGACTTTAAAATGGACTTATCTTGTTGGGCAAATCTGAAAAGAAAAAAAAATAAAGTAATTTACTACAACCACTGTTGACACTGCTGTCTGCTGTGAGCAGAGGTAAAAGAGGCTTATTTATCCTGATCCCTTCAGGAAACTTCTGCCAGACGTCTAGCCACAAAGAGATTTGTTCAAGCTTAAATATAACAGATCATAAATCTTCTCCTCTAAAAGAGTTCCATTAAAAAAAATACATAAATCAAAACATAACTTGTATTTCTTAATCAACATGTTGTTATGGTCACAACAGCCATGAATAGAAAAAAAAATCACTGTCCAGTGTAGCTTGATACCTTATACTTTTACACTGATTACACAATTATGAATATAATTAAAAGGCATTTTTATAGTGGAGATTCAGGAGAATGGAGAATAGAAATTGTGTGATTTACCATGGTAAGGCTGCGAATTATAGGGCTCAGGAGAAAGACCATGTGATGCACTATGTCACTGCTCTTTTCCACCAGCAGATAGACCAACTCCAGCAAACCAAAGGAGGCCAGACAGAGACCCAAACCCTACAACACAAACACCCAGAGATATGTGAGCATTAACTGCAACACCGAGGTGTCATGCCCCCCCAGAATGTTTTTACTTACACTACTGTTCAGAAGGTTGGAGTTGCACAATTTTATAATGTTTTAGATGCATTTATTTGATTAAAATACAGTAAAAACTGCATTATTGTGCAATGTTATTATAATTTAAAATAGATCTATCTGAATATATTTTAAAATGTAATTTATTCCTGTGATGCCAAGCTGAATGTTTATTGATGAATCATTACTCCAGTCTTCAGTGTCACATGATCCTTCAGAAATCATTCTAATATACTGATTTGCTGCTCAAGAAACATTTCCTCTTATTAGCAATTTTAAAAAAAACAGTTGTGCTGTTTAATGTCTTTGTGGAAATTGTAATACTTTTTTTCTTCAGGATTCTTTGATGAAAAGGTCAAAAGAAAAGCATAAATTTATGTCTTTACTGTCACGTTTATGTCATTTTAATGTCTCCTTGCTGAATAAAAGTGTTAATTTCTTTCAAAAATAAAATTCTGACTGACCCCGAAACTTTTGAACAGTACTGTATGCTCTATTAGAATTGATTTACATAATCACTGTTGAACTCGATATGATCTGTTTTTCTTCCCATATAATCTTTTTTCCTGCCTGCCTTTTAAACGCTCTTTAACGATGTCACCCATTTGAACATTTGCGTGCACATAGCTATAACCTGTGAGTTTTTCAGCTGATTGATGCTATATTCAATCTATAGAGGTGGTAACTAGAATTCAGTCAAGTCTTGATATGACCAGTATGACTTACCGTCTTGGCACAGCAGAGGCTGGATAAAGATATGCGTCCATTGTCATAGAATCTGAGGTACAAGCAGTAGAAAGGGGCACAACCCCAGAGATAGAAGCAGGGGAACCACACCAGTACTGTGTGCTGGAAGCACTGGGTCAGGTCTGGGTGTGCTGTGTACCATGTGACATTCCAGTCCTGAAAACACAATGTTAAACCATTAGTCCTCTCTAACACGTTAACTTGTTACATCAGGATTGTATAATTATTAACAACTACTTAAGCACATTTTACAGCTTATTAGATTTTATTCACTCTTTGCACTCATAGTGAATTACGCAAAAAAAATTAAAAAAGATAATTCATCAGATTCCTTGGTGTCCATTGACGTTCTTTGTTCATTGAACGTGTTTACTCAGTCCAAATGGCTCTGTGTGTTTTGTATCAGTATATAATATCTGTGTGTGATTTATATCATTTATCTTGCAGTGAGAACAGACAAATTGTGTGAAGTAGCACAAAGGTGAAAGGTAAAACTCCTGTAATAAATCTTCACTGTTTTTCTGTGCTTTGGAATATAATTTTGTTTGCCAAGTGAGTTTATGATGAGTATTGCTGGATTTGTCTTGGTTACTTTTACAAGTCATGACAGGAAAAAAAATAAAGTTTTGCCTCCACAAATGTACATGATGTGCCATTCTATATATCAAAAGTTGCACTCTTTTTAGTCGTGGCCTAATGGTTAGAGAGTCGGACTCGTAACCCAAAGGGTTCGAGTCTCGTACCGGCAGGGATTGTGGGATTGTGGGTGGGGGGAGTGAATGTACAGCGCTCTCTCCCACCTTCAATACCACGACTGAGGTGCCCTTGAGCAAGGCACCGAACCCCCAACTGCTCCCCGGGCGCCGCAGCATAAATGGCTGCCCACTGCTTCGGGTGTGCAGTGTGTGTTCACGGTGTGTGTGTGTTCACTGCTGTGTGTGTGCACTTTGGATGGGATAAATGCAGAGCACTAATTCCAAGTATGGGTCACCATGCTTGGCCACATGTCATGTCACTTTCACTTTTTAGAATACCACATTCTGATTGTAGAAAATTCACAATTTCCACAAACGTAACTTGCAAAGAAACAAATTACTTTCAATATTTCACTGTTGTTGACCGATATTGTTTCCACTCAGAAGCATCGCCAGCAGCAGACCAATTTTCAAAGCACATGTGTACAAAAATGTAGGTTGAGTAACAACTTGTGCACATTGGTTCTGCTGAGTGATAGTTTGAATATCAGAGTAAAGCAAAGCAAAGCAAAGCTGTGGTCTGTGACAAAAATACTGTTCTGTGCATTTTGATTACATCAAATTTGGGCAAAATCCCACTTTGGCATCATTGCCAAGACTTCTCTCTCAAGCTGAATTTCACAGGTTTGTTCTATTCAGACATCAGTAATTCACACTCTATCTCTTCAGTTATTTCTGGCCTTTCTATGTTGGAAAACAGGCTGCTGTCCAAATGCAGCTGTAGAGCTGTTATGTTTTTTTCTTTCTCTGGACTGATGAGAACTTATTTGGCTGTGTTTTATGCTGTGGTTATTTCAGCAATGGCACAGCTCTGATTAATACTGCATGCTGGTTGTAAGGAGTCCTGTGGTATGGCAGTATATAAGAAGTGTACCTTTGGCAAGTCAAAATGTAAACCCCATATGCACCATGAGAAGGACCATGAGCACTAAACGCATCTCTGTGTAAGCTTCTTTGCTCACGTACATACAGCAATATAGCCATTGCCTGAGGTTTAGGTTTAAATTTTTCTCAGTATATTGTCTTACTCAAAAATAATCATATTTACTTGAACTTATGTATTCCAAACCTTTTTCTTACATGAAACACAAAAGAAGCTTTTTCACTGATGGAATTTATTTTTTTCCGTTTTGACCCTTTGCTGGGATTGACAGGCAATCTGGCCAATCATAAAGCCAAATCTGCCATTTTTGTCCGACAAACAAACCAGACAGAAGAGTAGATTAACGTTGGTGGACTTGAACTTGAAAAATGGTGTGTATTGACCTCTTTATGTGGATGAAACAAGAACCTACTGATGTTCATTCATGTTTATTTCATGCTACAGTTAGTAAAGAGGAAGAGATGATCGGTTCACGTGCCGCTTGAACTGAGGCGCTACAGCAATTTGTCTTGACACATTAAAGAGCCACAGAACGGTATTTATTGTTTGAATTTCTAAAAAAAAAAAGACAAAATTTGAAAGCTGAGACTTTTTTTTATACCAAAAATAACCTGTCTGTCGGCGCATTGTCAGTTTTCTCTTTGTATTTTTCACTGTGTGAGAAGATGATGTGTGGCGTGAGAAGGGAGGAGTCAAATACAACAAACTGGGACTGAAGCTTTCATGCTTCAAAACAGGATGAAAAAGCACTATAAAGTATCCATAAAATTAGTCTATACACTTGTAGTCATACAGTAGCTTTGCGTGAGGAATAGACCAACATTTTGCTTGTTATACATGTATAATCATTCATACAATAACTGTTCACTGTTGCAAGCATATTGTTTTGTTAGTTATTGGGATTTTGAGGACTTGACTGGTCCGATTTGTGAACAAATCATTCAGAATTGTTTTGTGAACTGGCTGAACTGATTAATTTAAAACCTGGATCAAAAGAATGATTCGTTCATTCGTAAATCAAACGTCTTGCACGAGTTTTCTCATGAATGTGCCATTGTGAGCTGTCATGATTTTCAGCAATTATTGACTTTTTTGGTCTTTATCTCACATAAAATAATGAATTAATATGCAATATATAGCGTAAAAGTCACATGGACCACTTTTATGATATTTCATTCATTCTGGCAAAAAAAACATTTTTCACAAATGTTCCTTTTGTGTTCCACAGAAGAACTTATATGAATTTGACATGGTGAGTAAATGATGAACATTTTTTATTTTAAGTGATCTATTTGTGTCTTCTAGCATTTTACCTTTATTTAGACCAGTATCTAAAACCCTGCAAGTGCAATCCAGACACACACTACAGGTTCAAGATAAGACACGGTTTGTTACGTGGTTGTTTTGGTCAGGATATGTCCTCATCTATGAGGGGGGTGTCTGGGCCCAGGAAGGGAAAGAGATTCTCGTTCACGTGGCAGAGCCTAGTCACAGTCGCAGTTTTCCACAGGGAGTTCAATGGAGCATACAGACACCAGCTTCTACCCGTCCGGCATCCTCCAAGACTATGTTTGCACTGGTCTAAACCCAATGGCAACCACAGTCTCAGGAAGTGATTCAGAGTGGTGTGTGTACCCTTCCTGCAAGTGTAGGAGTTCAGACTGCCGGTCAGCACAAATAACGTTTAAAAACAGTTTAAAAATGACACTGCTGATGTTTGGATTTATTTGGAGGACATTTATGAGGATGGCTTACAATTCACAAATCTCTGGTCACTTCTTTTGAAAATGGCCAGTTGGAAGCTAATAACAATCTCTCACGC